ACACACACATGCACACGCAAGTTGGCTTGCAATAAAAAATGGCGACCTATATTTTAAATAGCAAATAGAAAATGCCACAAATGCTCGATATCAATTTATATAAACACACACATGTGTGTCTGTGTGTGTGTGTGTGTTTAACATTTGTATAGCTTGTACATGCTGTCAGGCAACGGAAACGGGAAGTGAGTCACGGCTGCAAAGTGCACACACACGTTCACCAAAGCAATTATAATAAACGGCCATTGAACGTGTGAACCAGAAGAATTAACAAGAAACAAACAAATAATGCGCCAAATGCACGAGATTTGTGTGTATTCTAAGAATGCGAGGAATGCCACACACTCACAAACACACACACAGTTAAAATCAATTCAGATTCCGATTGGATGCAATAAAAGATTCATGAGAATTTTTGTTTTATTTTATATATGTATATACATTTTTTGGTTGGCTTGCAGCTAAAGTCTTTGGCCCCATTAGGTGTTGTGTGTGTGTAAAACGTGGACGAGATAATGATCTGGCAAAATGATAACGTGATAATGCATTATTTAAATATTGAGATATATATATATAACATATATTAATGCATATGTAAGCAGAGCTTGACTTACAAACGACGCATTTGGGCTCTCGTCAACGGATCTTATGTTTAGAAATCAAATTTGTTTTGAAACAACAAACAATTTATTAATATTTATTCATTTTTATATGGTTAGAGTTATAGTTTTTAGATTATCTAGAACGTATTCCTTATGGTTTTATTATCTGAGCAATATATAGCATACTTTTGGGCTGTTGGCCTGTTTTTGATAACCAATTAAAAGAGTGGTTCGTTAGCAGAGCTTTCACTGTACTTCGAAACGAATGTACAAATGTGTTTAGTTTGTTATTTGTTAAACCAACATATATAAGATCTTGTTCTCTCTTAAGTAGATCTGAAGTTTTACTATAAAACATATTTCGTCTTTGAAAACATGCAGAAATAATTCAACAAATAATTCAAACATTGATTTACTGGCTGGTTGTGTTGTTTTATTGAAAACTATATCATTTGTTTCAATATTTGGTAATTACAGGGTATCTGTTATAAGGAAATTTCCATTTTAAAACAGTTCTGCAGAAGGAACTTTCTTCAATTTCTTTTGTCTCAGTTTTATATAGCTTTGTGCCGGCTGTATTCAATTACTAAGTCAAGTATATCAAGTTCCAGTTAATTACAGGGTATCAATTACAAAGAGCAGAAACGATTTTAGCATACTTCTTTTGCCATAGTTTTGTACCAGCTTCGACAAGCTCATTTAGCTTGCTCTACTCTAAATATTCAATTACTACGTCAAGTATATCAAGATCTAGTTAATTACAGGGTATCAGCAGTAATTCAGTAGATTTGCCATACGGCCAAGGACGGAAGAAATGTGTGACGCCGGAGCGTCAAGTGCGGCTATAAAAGGCCAAAACTCAAACCGTTCGAGGCGGGTACGGGTGCTGCGGAAAGGGGGGGGGGGGGGTTGCGGTGCTGGGCCGTGTTTGACGTCAACTAAAGTTGGAAAAAATGAAAAAAAAATAATAAAAAATGACGGCAAACGGCAAAACTGCAAACTGCAAACTAGTTTTCCCGCCGATTACATGACATAAAATCAATCATTAACATTTGTAAATTGTGTGCGACTTATTTGGTAACCCGTCGTTGTTGTTGCTGCCTAAGACTAAATGGCTCAATGGGTAGAGGGAGGGAGGGGGGGGGGGGGGAGAGAGCAGTGAACAGGCCTTAGCTTGTTGACGTTGTTTAGTTGGCTTTTGCTGTTAATAATTTATGCCCTGAACCCATTCAATGTGTTTAGAAAAGGGTAAAATGGCTTTGTGCTAATTTATGTATTAATTAAGTCCAAGTTTAAGTTAAGTATCTACGCTTGGAGAAGCAAGCAGAGAGATGAATAATCTCATATATACTCGATATATACTCCAACCATCGATAAAAATCGATTGTCAATCGATTCTCAAATAATTCAAACCTGGTCTGTAACTTCTGTTATATTATAGACAGATTATAAATATTTAAGTCTTTAGATAACATTTCCAACAAAAATTGAATAACTTTTATAGATAGAGCTTTGCCATATTAAAACTCTAAAAATGTCAAAAAGATCGGACCTTAAGTACCGAGTTTTGTCAAGCTCGCATTTCCCAAACATACAGTGAGGGGAAAGTGATAGAAGGATGAATATGGAGTTTATCTATGGATAGATGAGATTGAGTCATCTATCCAGATTGAGTCTAGGGTATCTGCTAGTCACTCTTACAGTTGTTGTTGCCGTTTTCGGTTTCGCTTGTGACAGGCCCCCCTTTTGACTGTTTGGCAAGTTTTAATGGCACTTTTTGTCAATTGATTGTTAATATTTTTTATTGGCTCATATTACAACATTTCATTTGCCAGCCTGACATAAGAACGCGTTCAGCTTTTACGACGCACAGCAGCAGCGGCAGCAATAATAATAAT